GCTCAGGTTGTACGCGGACGAGTTGATGAGTGCGAAACATTGGTGCGACGTGGGAATGGCCGTGTTAAAAGAGCTGGCAAAGGGAGCAAATTCAACACTGGCAGCCAACACGAGGGGTCGGATGCCGCGGGGCCACTGAATTTCCCAGCCAATCACCACGAAAACTCGGTTTCGGTTTCATCCGAAACCACCACTTTTGTTGGGGTTATAGCAAGGTTGAATTTTTCTGCACCCCATGCGGCCAACTGGGAGTACGTATAGGTTGGGTGTTCCATGTGATATTCATAAAGTTCATATTTGTCGAACAAAGTCATGCGCAGCTTCATGATTTGAATGTGGCAGCATGCAAACATCATTCAACCTTTTGAAATTTCAATTTCACCTCGACATTCGATATTATCGATTCTCAAGTTTTATTCACTTTGGCACGCATAAAAGTCAGGGGGAAATCAGTAGTACTAGTAGTGCCTAGTAGGCTAATAGTACTAGTGGTGCCTAGTAGGCAGTTAGCCGAAGTGAGGAAGGGGACGGCGCGCCCATTAGAAACTGGGGGGGTAGGGGAGAAGATAGTCGCCCAATCAGAGGAGGTGGGTTCATTTTGGAAAAGAAGGGCCTTGACGACTTGGACCACCGTTGGCGGACGATAAAGGCGGGACAAGTCGGGCGGCCGCAACCACGGAGTCCGCCTTGTCGGACGACGGCGAGCATTTCGTTCATTGACGGCAAGCAGCGGCCTGCGTCGCGCGGAATTGTCGGCCCGGCCAAGGCAGCGTGTCGGCCGATTGGTGGTGCAGTTGGCGAACGATATCAAAGGCGGGAAAGGTCGGGCGGCCCCAAACTTCGGAGTCCGCCTTGTCGGACGACGGCGAGCATTTCGTTCATTGACGGCAAGCAGCGGCCTGCGTCGCGCGGAATTGTCGGCCCGGCCAAGGCAGCGTGTCGGCCGATTGGTGGTGCAGTTGGCGAACGATATCAAAGGCGGGAAAGGTCGGGCGGCCCCAAACTTCGGAGTCCGCCTTGTCGGACGACGGCGAGCATTTCGTTCATTGACGGCAAGCAGCGGCCTGCGTCGCGCGGAATTGTCGGACCGGCCAAGGCAGCGTGTCGGCCGATTGGTGGTGCAGTTGGCGAACGATATCAAAGGCGGGAAAGGTCGGGCGGCCCCAAACTTCGGAGTCCGCCTTGTCGGACGACGGCGAGCATTTCGTTCATTGACGGCAAGCAGCGGCCTGCGTCGCGCGGAATTGTTGGCCCGGTGAAGGCAACGTGTTTATTTGTATCAATTGTACTGTATGGGTTCTCGCTGTCCTTACCAGGCCGCCATAGAGACCAAGCAGTTGCGTGTCGACGCTTGGAAATACGAACGTCTCCGGAAGCTTATGCAGACGACCACACCAGGAGTAGAGCATGTGCAGTCGTGGTTGGTGCTGATGGCGTTCGACACATGGTTCAGGAGTGGAAGAGTCCATTGGAAGTCGATCCAATATGGACGAAAAGATCTTGTCGATGTACGCTGGTGTCACTGTTCCTGTCGCCAGCTCCTTTTCGTCCAGAATCTTCTGGACTCCCGACAGCACTTCGCTCGCGACGGCTTCAATGATTCTTGTTGGGCTTGCAGCTGGCAGTAAATCTCAACGTACGGGGGCAGGCCAGTTGGCTTCATCGCCGTTGACTTCGTGCGGACAAGTGCCTTGAGGTTTGAAATCATGAAGTTGTCCCGAAAGATCGCCGTGTGGAGGACTGGGTGGCTGGACGGAAGGGTCGTACGGAGTAAGTCGGCATGGTGAACGATGGACGCCAAACCGAGCTTCAG